ATCTCCCTGTAATCTGCTTTTTGCTGTTGTGATAGGAGTGCTTCAATAACGAAGACCAAGCAAGCTGTACGTAAATTGAGTCACCAGCCTCTGAATGTGCCTTGAAGCAGAATGAAAGTCAAGAGAGGAAACTGCTCCATACCACACTGAGAGGGCTCCACTGGCATCCTGGAGGCTATGGGGAAGGCTGTAAGAATCTTCCCTTGAGTGAGTTGTCACTATGTTTTATTAGTGACTGTAAAAGTCAGTATCAAAAACAGAAATGATTTTAAATCCTGACATTATTTTAATACTTTTACTAAATAACTCGAATTCACCTAGACTTCAGGAATAATTCTCCTAGGACTTGAAGAAGATATAAATCCCATGAACTGGCTTTGTTTCCCTCCAGCAGCCATGGCCAGGGAGCTTTAGGATGTGTCTGTAGTTCTATCCCAGGAATCCTCACACGATGGCCATAAGCCATTCAGTCCTTCACTGACTGATGCCACAAATGCCCAACACCTCACTTTCCTCAGCCTTTCAAGGTCCTCACAGTAGCACGATGTCTGTCATATTCATTCATGCTACATGGCTTCAGCAGGGCCAGGTTTCAACAGCTGGTATACATTTCTCTTAACACTGTTATTCATTTTTCCTGAAGAAATGCAGTCTAACAACTGAGGAAACCCTACCAGGTCATGGGCGAGCTGCTGGATGAACTGAAGGGTCCTGAGAAGCAGTGTGGCCCCACAGACACTCTCCTCTGCATCCTTTTTGCAGTGAACACAGATGGCGCTCTGCTCTGCTTCTGCTCTTGCAGGCCGCAGGTAGCCACTGATGCTCAAGCCTTGCACTCCCAAGCGCTCTGCTGACTCCTGACGGGTGCAGAGGAACTTCACCATCAAATACTAGGAAGGACAAGAGAAGGATTCAGAATCCCTAAATACTGATAAAAGGGAGAAAAAGGCCTTTCTGGGAAGGTCTTCCTATGATTTTAATAATTTATTAGGTGCCATTATGCTTAGCACTGGAGACACAAAATATAAGTCCAGTATCTACAACAACAACAAAAAAAGACAATACGAGTGCTGAATAAAGTCAGGTTTTGGTAAAGATTGCAATAAGGGAAATGGCATCATTATTCCCTCATCAAGACAAAAACGGGATAAGAGAGGATGAGTAAGAGAGGTAAGTTTGCTCTGTGGCAGTCATTTTGAAACAAAATCAAATACGTGATGGAAACAGTCAATGCCCTCAGGAATCATCTCAAACCCTGCGTGATATATGCAAACTGTGTGCTGGAACCTAGGAAAGCAGTCTGGTCTACTCGAAGCTAAGGCCATTTCAAAGCCAAACTTCTGCACAACCTATCTGCTTCTTACAGCAAAACCTCCTTTGTTCAGGGCCTTTCTGGTCTACTGCACTGCTCAACTGCTTAAATATTTACTGAGCACCTACTACGTATAAGCCCTAAAGATAGTTCTTAATTCTGTTATTTAAGCCCAAGTCTGAGATTTACATTTGAGGTTTAGAAAAAAATTAAGTAGCCAGATAATCACTGCTTCTTTCATAGCTACAGAAACACAATTCTGTTGCACTTATGCCTGTGTTCTCACTGTTCTCTCAGCCTGAGATGCCCTCTCCACACATCTTAGCCTGGCTAATAGATGATGGCTTAATCAACTTCCAACACTTGGCATCATCCCACCTTTCTTGGGATACCTTCCCTAGTGAATTCCAGGATGGGTTAGATATTTTTTCTCTGGGCTCTGACAGCTCCTGTATCTCCCTTTATCACAGCCAACATCTCAGTGCCTCACACATCTGTCTCTCCCACAGACTATGAACTTCTTGAAGGTCGATGCACCTCTAGGGTTCCAGTGTTGGCACAGGGCTGGTACACAACTGCCACTCAGTAAATGCTCACAGAATAAGAGGAGGGGAGTGGGCATCCATACGAGGCCACAACTCACTAATGCTTACTTTGGCAACTCTGCACTGTTGCAACTTGACATCTGCTTCATCCCACTCTTCTTCCAGCTCAAACCAGCCAATAGGATCATCCTCTCCAAGGTCATCAGACGAGCAACCAATCCTGTAAACACAAGGGTAATCACAAAACATTTTCCTATTTCTAAACTTCTCAAGAGTCTAACAAAAAAGGCATCATCTCAGTGGCATTTGACTTGTATTATAGCCTATTAACAATCGAGGGCTGGCACCTGGTACCCCTCTGAACACATGAGAGAGTTAGTGGCGTTTTCCTCTCCATTTCTCAGCCTCCTCATCTGTGAAACAGGAACTATATCAGCTCCAAATATGATCTGGGAACTAAGGAGAAAGTTTGTTTCTCTAGATAATTGCCTCAAGTGAAGAATGAGAGATGAAGTCAGGCATCTTAGATGAGATACCCAGGAGTGAAGTACCATGCAACAGCTGGTGTGTGCTTCTGTAAAGAAACAAAGGAGACAGGCCGGGTGTGGTGGCTCACGCCTGTATTCCTAGCACTTTGGAAGGCTGAGAGACAGGAGGATTGCTTGAGGTCAGAAGTTCAAGACCAGCCTGAGCAAGGGAGAGACCCTGTCTCTACTAAAAATAGAAAAATTAGCGGGGCTTGGTGTTCCACGCCTGTAGTCCCGGCTATTCTGGAGGCTGGGGCAGGAGGATCACTTGAGCCCAGGAGTTTAAGGTTGCAGTGAGCTAGGCTGAC